CTCCCTCCCTCCCTCGCTCGCTCGCTCGCTCGCTCGCTCGCTCGCTCGCTCGCTCGCTCGCTCTCTCTCTCTCTCTCTCTCTCTCACTCTCTTCTCCTTATACCAAACATTCGAACCACCCTGGGTCCAAATATGGGCAGGGCACAGAACTCACCGAAGCCTCAAATCCAGGAGTGTGTGAGCTCACACAAGGCCTAGCAAAAGATTCCAAACTCCTGCCTTCCATACCTGTTAGCGGCGAACTGTTAGCGCGGTCCATGATGCTTGCGTCTATCCAAGGTTAGTGGGTGCAATCAAGGTTCAGTAGTAGTAGTAGTAGTACGTAGTAGTAGCACGAAGGCATCCCAAAAGAACCCGCGCACCTAAGCCCAAATAGCGCAGCCAGGTTCCTTGCGATTTCTTCCGTCCAGAGCGAAAGACAGTGAGTTGGACGGCGAGCTCGCACGCCTTGTGCAAGTTTGCCGTCAGCTGGATGGGGAGGTACGTGGAGGACGTCCTTCAGTGTTGAGGGATCCATTGCTGAATCATACCGAAACCTTTAGCAGACTCATGTAGCTTGGGGCAAGCATATGCAGGACAAGCAGGCAAAAAAGAAGGACCAGGATGACGACGAGCACGGGACCTTGGAGCATCTGTGCTGATCTTGGAAGCCTCTGGAAAAATCGGCATGCAGCGGAGAGCACATGCAGTTACGAAGCCGTCGTGCATCGTAGTTCCTCTTCCTCTTGTAATCCGACACTTTCCCATTTGAACCTGCAAACACCTGAAGTCAGTTTCGATTATTGTCGCCCCGTTTCTGTCGCAGTTATAGCAAACTTTTGGACATTTTCAGCAACTCGCCTAACCTGGTGCTAACTCTGGTCATTACCTGTTGCCTGCTTGTGTATTCTTGTGCAGTTACGTCTCGCCTATCACTGTTCTTGTTGGATTGAATTTAGGTGTGTTTGAATGTGTGTGTGTGTGGGATTATTTTTTGCTACTTACTGTTGTTGCCCTGGCTTAATTCTGAAGCCTGCGCCTTACAGCGTATAAGTACGTAGGATCGGCGGGCTCGCAGGCATTCAAGTTTCTCAAAGGCTGTTGCTTTGCGTCACAAGTACTGACTCGCAACACAATGTTGCGAACGTTCAGGCGTCCGATTTGTCCTGGGCAGAGCTTGTGAGGCCTTATAAGTAGAATGCTGGGAAGACGTCTTGTGCCGGGCGGAGCCAAAACCCTGCTGGCAAACTCAGTCCTCGAGAGGTTGGCTAGAAGCCGCAATCGCAACCCGCAGTTGAGGGCATTTTTTGCGTTGGAGTCGCAGCTTTGAGGTCTTTGTTTAGGGGGCTCTTATGCTGCTTGTTGTTTCAAGAGTTGAATTTGTTCAAGGCTTGCAGCCCTCTCAGCCCCTGACAACCAAGAAGCCCTTGACATCTTGAAACCACGGCTTTTTCAATATTTCAATGTGTTCTACGTGTTAATCCCTTGAAGGTCTTCGGGGTCAGGTGTTCAAGGATTTCAGGGTTCCCAACACTGTACAGCGGGACTGCTGACGTGCCGAGTTGTCCAGGTATGGAGAGTTCCAGGCGAAGGTCCTGTTCCTTCTCAACCAACAGAGCATCACGCTACAGCGCCAGCGGAAGAAACTGAGCTTTGCGATTCATGTTTTGGTGTTGCTGTCTTCTTTTTCGTGTGCAGCTGACAGCAATGGCCTCATTGGGCAGATTTGTTCCGTTGCCAGCATTGATGACTGTCCTGAGCATTCGCTGCAAGTTATGCCTTCTGCAGTGTTCTGCATGACATGACTGACGTGAAGCGTGGCGAAGGCCCTGTAGGTCCCGTATTTGATGCTGTCCGAAGTCCTAAGCATTTCTTGCCGTGTATCCCCAAAATTCCAAGCCCACATGACATTCCGAGCCCCTGCGCCCCAAACCTTTGAGTAACCTTTCCAGGAAGCTCGAGAAGCAGCGCAAACACCTGGAGGGGCTTGATGTGAACTCGGGAAGTGGATGAGTTGTTTGCCAGAGACACCAATATCTCTTAAGTAAGGACATGAAGTTGTTGAGACGTCCTCAATCTCTGACGCTAGGAATGTTCCTGAATGAATTAAGGGATGTGGGAGTCTTCGGTTCCTCAGTCTCACCTCTTTGACACCTCGTCACCACAGAACGCAAGTGAGGAGGACTCCCAGCATTCATTGGCATCGGAAAGACGGAATATGTAGTCTCATATGCTGCTCAGAGCCTGTCCGCTCCACATCTCTATGTCCTCCTCTACTGCCGAGCAAGGTGGCGTTTCTGGAAATTGGGGGTATCTTATGCAGGGGTCCGTATAATCAGAATCCAATTGGGGTCCCTCAATTTCTGAAACTCCCATGAGACATTCTGCATTGTTGTCGTGTGCCCGTCCGATCCACCCCAAGGGTGCGGTTGTACTACGGGCAAGCCATTCGGGGGCTGCACCAACTCAAGGTTCCCGGTAGGGCTTTCGGGTGTAGATCAACGCTGAATAAGAATTCCCTAAACCCTAAACCCTAAACCCTAAACCCTAAACCCTAAACCCTAAACCCTAAATCCTAAACCCTAAACCCTAAACCCTAAACCCTAAACCCTAACAGCTGAATAAGAATGGGGCTTTAGGGTTTTGGCGTCACTGTGGGAACCTGAAGAGTTCAAGCAGGGCTTAGAGGTATATTACAGTCTCACCTCTTCAGGGTGTACAAGGGGGTACCCTAAACCCTAAACCCTAAACCCTAAACCCTAAATCCTAAACCCTAAACCCTAAACCGTAAACCCCAAACCAGAGTGATCTGGGGATTTGGGGTTTGGGGGGCATCGGGATCCCACTATTATTCGGGTTTTTTTTGCGTTTCTTTCGGTTCCAGAGGGAGAAAACGGAACACTGACTTGGGGACAGCCCCAAACATAAAAAAGGGGCCTAAGTAATTCCCACTACTAATTTGGGGGCTCCTTATTATAATTATAGTATAACAGTATAACAGACCCCAAAACCCTATTCTACTTGGGACAGCCCCAGACTAGCTTCCTTGGCATTCCGCCGCTGGAGTCATTGGTTTTAGTAGGGGCCGGGCTTGATGAGCTGCGCGGATGGGTTTAGGACACAGATCCAGGTCTAGACTTAGGAAACTAGGTGCTATGTGCTCCAATGTGTAGGTATAAAGCCACGAAGAAATCCGTGTCTACCGCTTCCTAGCATTAAATGCTGAGATGAGCGCCCATCGTCATTGCAACGAACACGGCCCTGTAAGACGGCCAGCGGATTGCGGGTGCCAAGGCGAAGGGAGGGACTCCTTGCTCGGAGCGCTGGGTTGCATACGGAGCTCTCCTGGGTCAGCAAAAAGAGCCCGACTACGCCCAAAGCCTGAAGCTGAGCCGTAGGTTTTGATCAGGGATCCTCGCACCTTGCAGTTGACGGGTAGTGTGGATCAGGTCACCACCACCACCACCACCACCACCACCAGGAGCACCAGGACCGGTGTCATCGTCATTGTCATCATTATCATCATCTTCATCATCTTGATCATCTTCATCCCCATCCTCATCCTCATCCTCATCCTCCTCATCCTCATCATCCTCATCCTCCTCATCCTCATCATCCTCATCCTCCTCATCCTCCTCATCCTCATCCTCCTCACCCTCATCAGCCTCATCATCCTTATCCTTCTCATCCTCCTCATCCTCATCCTCATCATCCTCATCATCCTCATCCTCATCCTCATCCTCATCATCCTCATCATCCTCATCCTCATCCTCATCATCATCATCATCATCATCAACATCATCATCATCACCGTCACCGTCATCACCGCCATCATCATCATCATCATCATCATCCTCATCGTCGTCGTCGTTGTCATCTTCTTCACCATCCTCACCATCCTCATCATCATCCTCATCCTCCTCATCCTCCTCTTCCTCCTCATCCTTATCATCCTCATCCTCCTCATCCTCCTCATCCTTATCATCCTCATCATCCTCATCTCCCTCATCATCCTCTTCATCCTCATCATCGTCATCATCAGCATCATCAACATCATCAGCATCATCAGCATCGTCAGCATCATCAGCATCATCATCATCAGCAGCATCATCATCATCACCATCATCACCATCATCGTGTCAATGTAAGAAGTTGCTTGGAACTTCCTGGTGCCAGTAGTGCCTTACATAGACAGTTGGAGAATGTCATGCCAATCAAATCCTGCTGTCAAACAAACCCTGCCGGCCACAGTAGTTGGCTGCAATCTGAGCCTCCTCTGACCCCTTGTGTGTCCAGCGCCTTGAATCCTAGACGCTAGACCTAAACCTAAGCCAAACAACACAAACCTTAAGCCCTGAACCCTCAACCCAACCCGAGACTGGCTGTACAGCCTACACCTGCGGCCCAAACTGCAAACCCTGGAAAACCACACCCTGAGCGCTCTAAGCCTAAAGGCCTAAACCATGAAGCCCAAAACCTACGGCCTGAAGCCCGGAAAACGTCAAGCACCAGATTTTGTTTAGGGCTTGAGGGGTTTGGGGTTGCAGGGTATGGGGACTTAAGGGTATAGGGTTTAGGGTTTCGGGAAGCCCGAAGCACTAAGCCGAGATGCCGCTTCACAAACCTGGACTGGGTGGTGAATGGAAGTGAACTCGAGGCCTGCGAGGAGTTGTCGGCAGTGGGGTTTGGAGGTTTGGGGGTTCGGGTTTCGGGGTTGGGCATACTTGAGGTGCTTCTATGGTCTATCTTACCGCTATCTATCAGGGAGAGCTGGCCATCCGGACTCATGAAGCCTAAATCCTGAATCCTTGTGTACTATTGATTCGACGCTGTCGATGTCGACCATCTTGACCGTGATGGATTGTTGTTGAATATGGGGGTGGGGACGCGAGATTTTGAGTGCTGCTGCTCATTGCAGCATGTTCAGGCCAATGTGTTCGTTTAAGGCTTTCAGCAGCATTTTTCCTGCCAAGTGTGGTCGTTGTGATTGGTAGAAGCAGAGGCCAGCGTTTCCGTAGTAGTGGTGCTAGTAGGAGGAGTAGTAGTCGTCGTGTTTGGTTTTTCGTACGGAGTTTTTCGGAATTGCTCGTGCCTGACCCTATGGACCCGAACCGCGAGGAATACTTTCGCAGCAGGTATGCTCTGGTATGCAACAGGTGTCACCGCAACCCGCCTATTGTTTTTTTGGTGTATTTCCCTGATGAACGACGCTGCGGTCATTTTCAACCAGTGGTTGTAAGTTGCAAGTAGCTTCAGTTTTTGGGTAGTTCTCAAAACTAGGGTCCCTTTTTGGCCCCCAATATAGTAAGGCACCCTTGTAAAACGGGCCCTAAAAGGGACCCTAATTTAGAGAACTACCCTTTTTGTGAATCTGGCAACTAAGGGGCATTTCCCAAGGCAGCTGTCGCCTCCGGTGTGTTTTCAGTCACGCGTAAGCCCACATCCGAGAATCCTTGAACCCCCTTAAACCCTAAACCGTATAAACCCAAAACCCCAAAACCCTATAAACCTTAAACCCTAA